ATAGAAAACCAGGCGGTGGGGGGTGGGGGATATCTTATTGATCTTAAGATATCAATTCTATTGTATTATTGAACAGTTGATTTCTAAATTTATTTTGGAATTATAATTTGCAATGTTCTCACTTATCTTTCAGTCTACATATGGTTTGATCATCAACAAATTGGAGAACACATGATTTGTTATTAAAAATAAAGATTTGTTTGTTATTAAAAATAAATAGTTAAATTTCTTTTGATATTGTGAAAAATCGCGTTTACAATTTTTGAAAATTGAACCAGTTGAGTTATTGTTAAGTCAAAGGACTATAAATTAATAATCGTGATTAAATGATTTTTTAAAATACGATAAAAATTATTTTGGTATATGGTTGGCAGTTCTTCTATGAAACTAAATGGTTAGTTCCCTTATGGAACCAACCATCTGGTTTCTTAGCAAAGTTGATATGGTTGGTTACTAAATGAACAAGAAAAATCATGTTTTTTTTATTATTAATATTGATAAATAAGATTCTATTATAATGTTGTGATTAAAATCATAATAAAATTTTCGTAATTGATTTTTAATTATATTTGCAATTTTATCATGCATATTCAAATAATATTTTCTAAAAAAAAACTGATTTAATATATGCTTTTTTGAACAATGTTGTATGATTGGTTAACAAAAAAAATAAAAATTTTAGTGATTTGTTGTTGTTGTATAAAGAATCGGATTTTTATTTTGATAATTATCGCAAAATAATTTATAATATGGATACCACTTTATTTATATAGAAAGCTGTGCTATTAACACAAAATTGCACGATGAAAAACAAGTACATATAATTTGATTTCTATTTTTTTATAAATATTAAAATAATGTTTACAATTTCTATTTTAATAGTAAGTAAATTCATTTAATTAAAAATACAAAATTACCATTTTAGATTATTCCACCAACCTCTTTCAATATACATAGACATAGTATATAGATTAGTTTTTTTAATAAATTATTTCAGACAATGATATTAAAAATCTTGAAAGGCTTTGTATCCATTCGAACTTATAATTTGGCCTCAAAACACATATGAATCAAGCAAATCTCAGTGTTTTTACAAAGAAATCTAAAAAATCAGCTATATATATATATATATATATATATATATTTTTTTTTTTAATTAAAAAAGGGGGTGTCTATATGTACACCCCCTTGTGTGTAAAAAAGGGGTGTACATATAGCACTTTTCTTTGTGTAATTTATTAAAAGGGGGTGTACATATAGCATTGCCCTTAAAAAAATGAAATAAGCATTTTTC